CGTTTCGTCCTATTTGATGTTCAATCTGAGACTATATCAACTCTGAGATGCAGGTATATTCAACTGATGAGTTCCAAACAAGACGAAACGCGCGTCAAACTGGATTTCGTTACTAGTCACTATCCATATTTACTTATATTTGTTTTTTTTTTTAGTTTCAGTTATCGAAGTGGAAAAAAAAACCCAACTAAAACCGACGATTCACAACCTAAAGACAAATTTATACTATTGACTACACAAAAATATGACAATGTTCCCTTTGAATTGAATTGAACATGAAATACGCAACTAATTTAATGATTTTCTTCTCATATTTACTAAGAGTTTCCCACCTCTCTCTCTCTCTCCAAAGAAAAAAAAAGAACTTTTCTATTCTTTTTTTTCATGGCAAACAATATATAATTATTATTTATTTCCTTAGTTTCTTTCTTTCTTTCTTTCTTTCTTTCTGCCTTGAATATTTCAAATGAAATGATGACTAAAGAGAAAGACTGGCGATAATATATGACGAGACAAGAGAGAAAAAAAAGTGAAGAGAAATGAAATCATCATGCCAACTAATAATAATAATAATAACACAAACTCAAATACAAAACACGCTCTGAATAGTGTTACTTCATTCTAATGTTTCTGATCCTTCATTAGGGGTAAGTGTATCGAATAGTCGATAAAATATTGACTAATAAATGTTGAATCCATTTGTATATGATATGATAATCAATTATAGAAAAAGAAATTGGATTGTAATAGATTCAAAGATATATATATATATATATATATTTGACAACGAATGCCTATACTTGAAAAGTAGGAAACGTAAATGAACATTGTTAGTGTTGGGGATGTTAGATCTCCAGAACTCACTTGAGAAAGGAACTAATTTTGTAATTTTATTTAGAAAATTTGAATTTCTTTATTTTCGTGCCAAAGGCGCCCTTATCACCTTCGTTGTCGTATTTCTCACTGGGAAATATCTTAAATGCTAATAGTCCGTTGAGTCTTTTAGTATGCTATATGGTAACTCACACCAAGGACGGTTTTGCACTGTATACATATGTTTTGAATTGTGTTTATTGTTATCGCTCGTTTTTGACTGTTTTGCAGAATATACTTCCCATTCCAAGCTTGAACTTCTCCCTCTAGTTAACGGGGCTGGGACGCATCAAATAGATAACTTACTGGTCTTTGATCACTGAGTCTTTGTTCTCGTTCGCAGATTAAGTGAATTCGTGATAGCTTGAGACCTAACAGTTAGCTATTCAGTAACTCAATAAGTGTAAATGTAATCTATCAACTAATGTCAGTTGTTTATTTTCGATGAAAATTTATCATTAGGTTATACAGAATATTGATGGAACCATGACAATAAAATGAAACTACAAAGTAGAGAACTTGTAAAATTAAGAGACAATGGTACGCATTTTAGGCATAGAGGGTGAGATACATGTCTAGCATGGTCATTGTTACAGTGTTAATAGGAAAGTAGATGTTATAACTTGTGGCCTATGTGCCCTGTTAATGTATTACGTAACGATACCGCCGATTAGAGAGCAGCGAATTATCGATCGGACCAATGACACATAAAACCCTTACGAGCAGTCTAGAGTACTTATCGGTACTGCTTCCTACCTAGACCAGCCACTTAAGTCCAGAATACCAATTCTCAGCCTCTGAGATATAAATCATACGGAATTTATGCACCAATCAAACAGACCACAACACGTACCACAAAATAGAAAACAACATTTGTACACGATTTGGCCCAAAGTGGCTGTGAATGTAGGAGGTAGTATTTAATAGACAGGGCATAATTCAAGAATAGTAAATCGTATAATAATAGTTCATAGGTCAAAATAAAGCTCATAATAAGAGGAACATGAATATGTATAGTTTAATTATTTAGTATTGATCCATAAATGGATCCCAAAAGTTACTATTCATTATTCTTATCAGGACATAACAGTAGGGTATCATTGATTTTTAAATACAAAATATGCCTAAACATCGTTTAGATCGTTGATCTTACTATTTGTTTTAAGCTAAAAATAACCCCCAATGCTATTAGAAATTTTATTATACTTTCAATTAAGTTACAATATGTCATTATCTTAAAACGGTATTAAACGAAATCCAAACACTTACAACACATGAATGCACATATTCACTAATATAGATATATGCTCTCTCTCTCTTTTACTCACTCTCTCTCTCTTTCTAACCCTCCACATTGTTATACCAAATAATAAAGAATCATTGAAAGTAAAATAATGACTCAATGAATATGTCATTTCTAATTGTCAACTAATAAAGTGTAGGCAGAAAAGAAGAAATGAACAAGTATTACATAACAAAGTTATGATCTCAACTGTTGAAATTATTACAATCTCCACAAAACCCTTTCTGATACTAAAGTGATAATAAATCGATAAATAGTTTAATCAGTTTCATGAAAGAGTAATCCTTTGTAAAAAGGTACTTCATTACACACACACACACATTGATATATATGTATATACACTTAAACAAACAATTACAGTAACAATTGGATTATCAATGAAATAATATCCTATAATGATGAGATTTCGAATAGGTGTTCCATTTTATTTAACATCCGTTGACTGGATATACCACCTACATGGGACCCCTCAGCAGTGCGCATCCACGAACCCGCCCCCCGAGGGATTCGAGCCCAGGACCTACTGGCTTCGCGCGCGAGCACTTAACCATTAGACCACTGAGCCGGCATCCAACGGGCGGGTTCGTGGATGCGCACTGCTGAGGAGTCCCATGCTAGGATGGAACGGCCGTCCAGTGCTTCCAGGTTTTCAATGGTGGTCTAGCTTCAAATGACTGATGATTTCAACCTGTGAAATTTCCTAAAATCTCCACAAAACTCATTCTGATAATACCACCTACATGTCAATGTAGAAAAGTTTTAATAATAATTCGTTAAAAAAATGTCTTCAAAAGCTGGAGAAATACTAAAATGATTATGTTACTATTCTAAAGAAACTTCTATTTAACTTCTTGATTTTGTTTGATACAAGAAGGCAATGTATACATATACGCCATATAAATCATTCGATATGTATGAGGGTTGAAATACTAACCCGGGCGTACAAACAGATGTAGATGGTTTTCTTAGGAACCACTCGCCGAGTATTCGATCTAAAGATCTAATCCACAAGGCAGTAGAGAGACATTAGGAGATACAGTCTAATGGTAGTCGATGACCAACAATAGGTTCATACGCCATTCTTTCCTTTAGGATCCTGGAGCCCATGTGAACCACTGGTTTAGAATCAGGATTTTAAAACTCCCCTAGGTGGATCAATCATATCTATCAATCCAGTTACAGCTCTGGACGTCTACCTTCCATCCTCTCACTTTCATAGACAACACTCCCTTTGAGAGAAGGCAGTGAGTAAGACAACCCTGTCAGTGGCTGCATACGCGTGGTCATATGAGATCATTTCGTGAGGGAGAGATAACTCTACTCACTCTCGGCCATACAAGGTGCTTTTACTATCCTTAATGAACAGTTACCCAATTCTCATTTATCTAATTTTAATCTGCTCTTCATAAGCTTCAAGAACTTCGAAGTTACATAGGACACTTATAAATACACTTGTCTTTTATGCACTAAAAAGTCTTGAAAGTACGACATCTTTTAAAAAACATCCTGTCTTCTATTTTACATTCATGTCTCAGGGTGCAAAACTTCTACATTAGGAAATCGATCTTTCAGCGTTTGAGTGTTATAATGCGTTTCACTCAGTAATGTTTTTAGCATTGAAGTTCAAACCGATATCAGAATGTTATCCATCAAGTGGCATGAACATTAGTTAGATCCACATAGATCATATTCTCAACTACAGTAGCAACAACCGAAGAACTCACAAAAGTAACTGCGTATAAACCATCCAGCTGAGAGAATAAAAATCTACGAAAATCATCCACCTGAGCTACAAATCTTCTCCACTATCTCAATTAGACAAACATACTGGCAAGTTACAGAATAAACGAAATTATACGTGTATCTTAGATTAAATTATTCTTATCACGTAAATAAATACAAGGAGTATTTATAGGAAAAGTTAGAGAAAATTATATTCAATGGTAAAAATTATCTACAAATCACCTTGCCCCCGAATGCCCTGATACGGACGAGAGTAGGGAGAGTCCGCTCTCCCTCGAAAAATGCTCTCGCATGGCCACACGTATATAGCCTCTGCCACGGAAGTCCTACTCACTGTCTTCTCGCATCACGGGTGTTGTTTACGAAATTGAGAGGACGAAAAGCGGATCTCCGGAGCTTTAACCGGGTCGGTGGACACGGAATGTCCACTTAGAGGAGTTGGAAAACCCTCATTCCAAACCAATGGTGCACATGTGCTCTAGTGTATTGAAGGAGCAAATGACGTATGAACCTATTGTTGATCACCGACTATCATGGGACTGCACTTCCTTACGATGCTCCACTGCCTTTTGAATCAGACCTTTAAGTCAAAGGCTCCGAGTGTAGCCCCCTAAGAAAACCACCTGTTTCGGTTTGAGCACCCGGGCAGTACCACAGTCCTCCTTGTACCAGTATTTATGTGTTCAAACAAATAAATAAATACAAATCACATTGATTTTAATTCAAATAAATTGGTTGTTTAGATCTTTTCAGTGATGTTTAGGACTACAATTGTTTGATCTCTTATTAGCTTCAATATTGCCAATAAATAAAAAGCATCGTTTTTTTTCTAAAGTAGAGATGGATGGTTAATAACAGTGGAATCCAGGAATCGAATTCCATCTTATTCATCATTCGTCAACTGGATATACATGTATCCAAGAGTTTAATGTTCACTTCAGGACTTACTTGTAATAGATCGAAACAATAAGCACAAGATACGCGATACCGTTTAAGGTTACCATCTATCACATTAAACTAAACATAAGATATAATAATAATAATAATATTGAAAACAATAACTAAAATCAATTTAACTTACATTTTATATAAAGTGATAATGCAAGTGAAATGAATGCAGCAACAATTAAAACAATTAATGTTAAATCTTGTAAAGCTTCCCACATTAATCTTAAAAATGTTTTAGCACGTTGTTGTGGTATAACATTAGCACCGAATGTATTAATACGTTTAGAGAAATCATCTTCATGTAAACCTGAAATAAGATAGAGAGAGGGAGAGAAAATTATGTTGATAATATTTTATATGAAGGATACATTGTAGTATAACTATTCTATTGGGTAGTGTTAAAAATAATTGTCATTATGATTAATTAGTTTAAACGATCAACTACCTGAAATATTTGACTGTAAAAATATACAGCAATATATAATGGATTTAATCAATTAACAGTCAGTCAGCTACAATGTAGGACCAGGCACATATATGCATCGGTTCAAGTTGCCATACCTCACATTATCACAACCAGATCAACACGGATTACATAAAATAGTTAGTTCAATGGTGGTAATATATAAAAGAACGATTACGTATAAGGATATAGTACAGGAAGAAAGAATTAGTTGGTAGAAATAAAGATATGAAGCAATTTTAATCTGATAGTTTAAAGGAAGACAGAGAGTGTATACACCTACGCGATTGTGATTGATTGTGAGCCATGTCACCTAGAGTCTCTAACCATTGATTACAATAGTCACGCGAACCACAATCAAGTAGTATGCATCTACCAACATATCTCAGACTAGAATATAGTGACTTCAAGGATTGATGTGAAGTTTTGTTTTGGCTGCCCCCAACACTAGTGAGCATTGTACGTCGTGGTAATCAGTGTTCACGTATACGTAACACATGGCCGAACCATCTCCGTCCATGAAAATTCACAACCAGCTAAGTTGATAAAAACTATAAATCAAAATTGTTTCATTCGATTTCAACAAGACTTATCTTATTTGACATTCTTCAATCGGATATACCTGAATCTCAGTGCTGATGTTTACAGTGGTATTTGAACCCAGTACCTATAGTTTTAAACATCAACGTGTTATTATTCACTAAGCTACTGAGTTTAGATAGCCATCAACTTGTTCACTGGGAATAAAGTAATTTGTTAGGGTATAAATTTTCTCACTGTTGACATTTAAAACTACAACTGGTCAGTCTATGTTAGAATATAAGCAGTTTGAGCGGATTGCCACAATATATTATCGTTTAATTACAAGTGTTATATTATGCAATGTCCAATTTTGAGACCGATACGTGATCTTCCTATACACGATCCTAATTGATTACTTAAATGAAAAGACTAAGAACGGAGAAGGAATTTTATTGAATAACCAAATCGGCATTTATGTATGCTCATTCATTCATTCATCCCTTGGGAAATTAAGCCATCAGTGATGTATGTATGACGCCTAGGAAATGTAATTCTTTTTTTTTACTCATCACGTGCATTTATCGCATTCAACCGATTTTTCAATGACCCTAGGTATTATCTTTCCTTTCACAATAATAAAACTTACTGAAGGTGCTAGAAATGAGGCCATAACAACAAGATATTTAATCAATTTAGATTATCTTTCAATAGATAAATTAAATGACTTCATTGAAAATTAAAACAAAAAAAAAAGAAGATAAATGATGAATATTGAATGTGACAGATCTGAATTGTCCTATCCTTTGTTGTTTTTTCTTAAATGTAGGTTACCATTTATTTAAAAATGTTAATCATAACAACTATATATACATAGAATTGTACTACTAACATGATAAGCTAAGTTTTTTAAATGAATTATAGAGGGCAGTGACCATTATAATTCAAGTATTTAACTATTAATCAATAGCAAATAATGTCCTATTTCATTTTTATTTAGATTCAGATTATCAAACCATATCAAATAGTGTCATAACAACTGAGTATACTTGATAAATAAAGTACCCTATAAAATTAAGGGTAATTATTAATTAACTAATCAGATACAATAGAAGGTAATGAATAAAGATTCGGTCAGTTAGCAACAACGTAGAACTTCGTACATACGTATATCAGTTCGAGTTGCCGTACCATATTAGCACAGAGATACAACTGTCAATTCACATCCCATAATGGTAGAGGTAGAAAGAGTATAAGCAGTAACCGGAAAGATTAGGGTTTGAAAATATTATTCAAGCAGTATAATACAGTGAAATAAATTTGGAAAGAAAATAAGGGACATGAAGAATTCAGGAGACTAGAATTTTGAAGAACACAAAGAGTGGATGCACCTGAAGCATTACAAACGATTTTGAGCCATGTTATTCAAGGTCTCTAATCATCGGTTGCTATCATCTCGTGGACCCCAATCAGATAGTCTACATCTAACAACATGGCTCAGTTCACTTGTCAATGACTTTATGGATTTGTACCATGTTTTGGTCTGGCCACCCCTAGCCCCTAGCTTTCTTCTAATCTACTTCTACACCATTAAAACATCACACGTCAGGGCAGTTGGTGGTTGGATATACGTAACACGTGGATAAAGATTCGGACTCAATAATCAATCATTTATTAGTTAAAAGACTTGATTTTTTTTTAATTATTTAATTTGAACTGTGTTACATCATATGTGATCGAATAGTATCACTAACTTTCAAAGAAAATTTTCAGCTCAAAGAGATGAGTACATGAAACTGTACCTGATATTTACATTTGATAGTGGTGTGTTTCATCATATGCAGTACAAACAAAAACTTTTATTTATCAAATAACATATATCAGTTAGTCAGTCAGTCAGTAACAACATAGAACTGCGTACATACGCATATCAGTTCGAGTTGCCATACTATTTTAGCACAGAGATACAATTGTCGATTTAAATCCCATAGTGGTAGAGGTAGTAAAAGTATAAGTAGTAATCAGAAAGATTAGGGTTTGAAGATGCCATTCAAGGAGTATAATCCAGTGAAATATAATTGGAAAGAGAAAAATAAGGGACATGAAGTTTACGTTCATTAATTACATACAGTAAAAGTAATAAAACAGTGATTCTATAATTAGGTGTAATGTTTTAAGTTATAAATAAGTTAATCATGACGTAAACCTTAATTCATTGAAATGATTAGAAAAAACACACCTGGCAACAAACGTTAAAAATATGGGATACTAGCTAATATAGTAGGTTGGGGAAGTAGTAGGGTTTAATTAGGATATGGAAAGTATTATTCCATAACATCCTAACTGCTAGTTTGAGATGAATTGAAAAGTGAAAAAATTGTTGATTGAAATCCAAGTAATAAGCATAATCAACTGTTAAAGAATTTATGTGACATAGCTCTAAATTTATTTCACTGATTGAAATCAAGAGTCAATTGAAGCTGGACCATCATGGAAAACCTGGAGATACTCCTGGAGTTCTAGTGAGAAGCAGTGACCAGTGGAGTTCAATCAGGTCTGTTGTGAGATATCGACTCACTGATGAAAATGGCGTACGGTGGCGCAACTTCGTGGATTGGTTGAAGTTACACATTAACACCGTTGGATGCCGGCCGGCTCAGTGGTCTAGTTGGTTAATCGCCTGACGCGAGACTGATAGTTCCTGGGTTCGAGTCTCGCGAAGGGGGGGCGGGATCGTGGGTGCGCACTGCTACTGAGGAGTCCCGTACTAGGACGAAACGGCCGTCCAGTGCTTCCAGGTTTTCCATGGTGGTCTAGCTTCAATTGACTCATGATTTCAACCAGTGAAATTTCGAAAATCTCCACAAAACCCATTCTGATCTAAATCGATTGTTGAGGCACAGATGAATTTATTCTGCACTTTTCTCTAAATATTCAGTTTTAGTTAAGACTTTCGATTTCTAATTACTAGATTATAGAGTTTAAAACCAGTATATATAATGCATTCTAAGGAAATCAGATAGTATCACAATTCGACACACTTAAAGCATGTCACAAAGATGAACACAGCAATCTGTAACTGGTAAGTGGGTTTCCAATGACCTCTAATCATTTCATTTTCATCGTAAGATTTTCTTATTTTTTAGATGTAGAGATGTGAAATTTCGTAATGTTGGATAATATAAACCTACTTCAAGTGGTAATTTATTGATAAATGAATAACTTAAATGACAATGTTTAGAATTTCAGATTATTGTGCAACATTATTTTGATGAAAGACAAATTCATTTAATTGGCTCTGAGCTATGCTCAAAGCGTGAAGGGCTGGTTGCCTAACCAAAGTTGGTGAAGATTTCGAACCCACAACCTAATGACTGGAAGTCGAACCCTCAGACCACTGAGGACAAGATATTCGTAAGCTACTAGTATTTCACCACACACACCTTAGAAATATTCCTCACATCTACTAGGATCACCACATCAGTAATAGTGACGTTGGACGCACGGTTTTATTAAGGATTGATGGTAAATCAGTTGATGACGTTGTGAATCTTCAGCGACTCAGATGGTTCGACCACAACACATGTTACGTATGCCTGAACATCGATTATCATAACACGCAACGCTCACTAGTCTCAGGGATGACTGGCAGAAGGTTAGGGTTAGCCAAACCAAAACGTGTCATCAGTGCTTGAAGTCCGCGTGACTATCGTAATCAATGGTTGGAGACTGAGTGACATGGCTCAGAATCTATCACGATAGTGTCGGTGTACACACTTTTTGTCTTCCCTTAAACTGTGAGATTAAAATTGCTATACATCTTTCTTTCGACGAACTTATTCTTTTTTCCTGTACTATGTCCTTATATGCAGTCTTTCTTTTATATATTACCCATCACTGAACTAACTACTTCTATGTAATCGGTGTTCATCTTGTTGTGATAATGAGGTATGGTAACTTGGACCGATGCACATATGTGCATGGTCCTACGTTGTAGTTGAATGGTTGACTGAGTACTATACTAAGATGAAACAGTTGTCTAATGTTACTATATTTCGAACAGTTATTGAGTCAGTCAGTCAGTAACAACGTAGAACTTCGTACGTACGTACATCAGTTCGAGTTGCCGTACCACATTAGCATAGAGATGCAGTGGTCGATTCAAATCCCGTAGTGGTAGAGGTAATAAGAGTATAAACAGTAATCGGGAAAGTTAGCGTTTGGAGATGTTATTCAAAGAGTATAACCCAGTGAAATAAATTTGGGAAGAAAAAAGAGACAAGGAGGAATAAGGAGATCAAAATTTGGGAGAACACAAAGAGTGG